TCAGTTTTCTACTTGAAGGAATGTTATCTGGATGCCAGAAGAGGATCTTGATCTTCTAGTTTGAAACTTATCTTGCAGTAGAACGTAACTTGTTTATGGGATTTCAATTGCAATGTGAATTATTTTTTTGACAGAGCACTGCATGTAATGTCAACACACAAGGCCACGGTGAAGAATGTCTTAATTTAATTTTCTTTTATGAGTTAATTCTGTAATTGCCTCCAAACCATTCAGCTTGGTAGAGTGAGGGACATGAAGTACTTGCTGAGGGTGCTGGCAGGGAAGGACATTTTCTAAGCATTTTTAGGCATTGATGGGTGTACACGGAACACTATATTGCCAACAGGTTATTTAAGACAGTGCAATTAAAAAGTAATTAGAGAAACTAAAGCATTGAGGGTTGTAGATCTGTGACAACTGCAAAAAACACAAATGGGATATTATAAGATAAATGATTGCATTATTATGTGAGTTTTTTTTCTTTTCTTTTTAAACATATCTATATATCAAAAGAAATTTCTAGCAGAGTTTGCAGCCAAGCTGCTTCATGGTTATTTTGTGCTTCAGGACAATGGTACTTAAACCTTTCTCCCACAGGGGAAGAAGGCACAAAGAGATGTTAGAGAGGAGAAAATACAATTCTTGTTAAGCCAGTAAGAGGGAGGTAGAGATGATGAAGGGCATTGCAATGCATTTCAAAGAGCCTGAGCCACAGTCAGACAACCCCAAATTTCAGTCCCACCCCAGCACCTGCTCTGCATAAGGCACTTAAATTCTTTGAGTACCAGTTGCTTCACCTGTAAAATAATAATGGTAGCAACACCACCACCTCATAATTACACACAGAGGATGTAGTTAGGAAAGGGTTGTTAATATGTCAAGCAAGGTATCCAAGGCCTGAATCTTGCAGTCTGGTGTTTCTCTTATCAGCCCCCTGCATCCTAGTTTCCATGGAGAAACCACCTGAGGCTTCCACCTGCCTGCTTCCTTCAGTACCTGCCCTTGCTCTGAGGGAGAAGGAACAGGACATGAGAACATTGTGCAAGCACAATGGCAAGGGATTTGAAGAGCCTCGTTGAGTCAGATCTCTTCTCATACACAGGAAGCGACAGATGATCCTTTCCATACAGAATTAGCAGAAAGCAGAGCTGCACAGCTACAAGTGGACATGGGGAATGGAAACAGTCAAATACTTAGTAATTACTGTTATTTTTAAGAGTGGAGGCCGGATGCAGTGTCTCATGCCTGTAATCCCAGCATTGTGGGAGGCCGAGGAAGACAGATCACCTGAGGTCAGGAATTCAAAATTAGCCTGGCCAACATAATGTAAACCCCATCTCTACTAAAAATACAAAAATTAGCCAGGCGTGGTAGCATGCGCCTGTAGTCCCAGCTACTTGGGAGGCTGAGGCAGAATTGCTTGAACCTGGAAGGGGGAGGCTGAGGCAGGAGAATTGCTTGAACCTGGGAGGGGGAGGCTGCAGTGAGCTGAGATTGTGCCACTGCACTCCAGCCTGGGAAACAAAGTGAGACTCTTGTCTCAAAAAAAAAAAAGTGGCCGCCACCCAGACTGCTTCCATGCACAGCACCTGGTGAGAACCGCAGCTCCAGGATATGACTATGTTAGGTTGTTTTTAATTAAATGAAAATATTTCTGCCAGGTCTGGCATTCATTTACCCACAAACAATACAGTGGACCACTTTGAGTGTTGCTGGTCTAAAACACTCTAGAAAGAAGGAAAGCAACTGCTTCGCGGATTGCTTGTCCTTGTTATCAGATATGCTTATTTGCAGAGGAAAACAACAATCATTTATGTCATCTCTTCCAGAACATAATTGCTGAGCATGAAATTCGTAATATCTCCTGTGCTGCCCAGGACCCAGAAGACCTCTCAACATTCGCCTATATCACAAAAGATTTGAAATCCAATCACCACTACTGTCATGTGTTTACTGCCTTCGATGTGGTGAGTACTTCCCCTTCGAACAGATTAAAGACTCCAAAATAGTCCTGGACTGTATTGAAAGCCCACCTTATCAACATACTAGCTTGGCTTGTTTACTCGGTATTAAGATACATACCAAGTGTATATGTTTGCTAGGGCCGCCATAACAAAGTACCACAGACTGAGTGGCTTAAACGACAGAAATTCATTTTCTTAGTTTCTGGGGGCCGGAAGTGCAAGACCAGTGTGTCGCCATGTTGGGATTCTCCTGAGGCCTCTCTCCCTGCCTTGCAGATGGATGCTGATATGGCTTGGCTGTGTCCCTATCCAAATCTCACCTTGAATTGTAGCTCCCATAATTCCCACCTGTCATGGGAGGTACCCGGTGGGAGGTAATTGAATCATGGGGGAGGGTCTCTCCTGTGCTATTCTCATGATAGTGAATACATGTCACAAGATCTGATGGTGTTATAAATGGGAGTTCCCCCATGCAAGCTCTCTCTTGCCTGCCACCACGTAAGACATGGCTTTGCTCTTCGTTCACCTGCTATTGTGGTGGTTAGGCCTCCCCAGCCATGTGGAACTGTGAGTCAGTTTAATCCCTTTCTTTTATAAATTACCTAGTCTTAGGTACGTCTTTATTAGCAGTGCGAGAACAGACTAATAAAGCTGCCCACTTCTTGTATCCTTATGTCGCCTTTCCTCTGTGCTTGAATGTTGGGTCCAAATTTCCTCTTGTTAGGGACACCAGTCAGACTGGATTAGGACCCACCCTAATGACCTCACTTTAACTGAATCACCACTTTCAGGGCACTGTCTTCAAATACCGCCACATTTTGAGATACTGCGTGTTAAGTCTGGAACACAGGAATTTTGAGTGGGTCACAGTTCTCTTCATAACACCAAATACCTTTTTGGCAGGCTAGGCTCTTTGGAGATTTTTCTGTATTTTCATTCTTCCATTCAACTTAGAATGCCAACTCTACCTAGTATCTCTATTGCCATTACTCAACTACTAATTTCACTTTTCAGACTTGAAAAATTCCTTTGTTTCTCTGGGACCAAAATATAGTAAAGGTCTTACAGCTTCCTTGTCCCTCACTCTGTCTGTTGGTTTCTCTAGTAGCCATTTCTAAGTACTAGGGCATAATAATTGAGTTTGCCTCATACAAATCTGTAGTTTTCTATATTGAATAGGAGCCAGATTAGATACCTACAGGTAGTAATTGGGAACTCCAAGGTTTGGCCCACATGCTCATTCAGAAATTAGTCTTAGCCAGGCACAGTGGCTTGCAACTATAATCCCAGCACTTGGGAAGCCAAGGCGGGCAGATCACTTGAGCTCAGGAGTTGAAGACTAGCCTGAGGAACATGGTGAAAACCCATCTCTATAAAAATGCAGAAGAAAAACAGCTGGTTATGATGGCATATTCTTGCAGTCCCAGATACCTGAGAGACTAAGGTGGGAGGATTACCCATACCTGGGAGGTCAGGTTTGCAGTGAGCTGTGATCACATCACTGCACTCCAGCCCGGGTGACAGAGTGAGACCCTGTCTCATTTTTTTAAAGAAGTTACTCTCGGCCACACACAGTTCATGCCTAAAATTCCGGTACTTTGGGAGGCCAAGGTGAGAGGACCACTTGAGCTCAGGAGTTCAAGACCTGCCTGGGCAACATAGACTTTACATTATATATATATATATATGGCCAGGCATGGTGGTGCACACCTGTAGTCCTATTTGCTTAGGAGGCTGATGAGAGAATCACTTGAGCCCACGAGATTGAGGCTTCACAGCTATGATCGCACCACTGTACTCCAGCCTGGGCTACAGAGCGAAACCGTGTCTCAAAAAAAAAGTTAGTCTTGTAATGACATCCTTCTGGAATTGCACCACTTCCAGTTATAGCCATACTTGTCATTAAACCTAAAAGATAGCTCATATATTACAAACTTGGAAAATGAAAATAATGAAAAGAAACAACAAATGTTTCTTTAAGATTGATATGCCCTCGCGGTGGTACAAATTGCTTGAGGATATCTCTGATAGAGTATATTAATAATTTATAATGAGAAGAATTTGAAAATGCCACTGTAGTTTGATGATTCTGCTCTGCTTACTGGGTTTGAAATATACATATTTAAAGAATCAGAAATTGCCGGTAATATATTCATGAGAGGCCTGCCCCCAGTTCAATGCCATGGTTAGAAGACTGCCTGAAGCAATGTTTTCCAGTTCTGAAGAACACCTGTAAGCCAAGGCCAACCGTAATCCAAAATCTACACCAGCCTAAGGTCTGTGAGTCAGGCAGCTCATGCTCAGAGCATTTATATCATGCTACATGTTCCTCACCCCTTTTCGTTTTTCAAGATTGAAAATGAGAAAGAATGCTCATGAGCCTTTAACAAAAGTCCCTTCCATTTGGGGAGGCATGAGGAGAGTAATAGAAAGGTAGTGTGTGGTAACAGTACAGACTGCAAAGCAAAGCCCTGCAAGGCTACTCTAAATATCTCTGGAAGTGTTTGTTTGCATGGGATTAAAGTGTTGATTAAAGCCATTTCATTCAGAGTTTATAAGGACATGCAGTGTTAGGTTTCTGGTGCCTTAAACATAACTTGCCATTCTTGTAAAATTTGATTGTTTCTTTATACAGTCAAATTTCATCCTGTTCACATCTATTTTGGTTTGCATGAAACACCTTTCTCTATAGGGGTAGGATTGATGTCATAGAAAGACAGAATACCAAAGTTCATATCGCAAATCGGCTATCTCTCTACTCCCTAGGCTGAGAGAAGTTGCTGGACTTTTCCGAGTCCCAATTTTCGTGGCTAGAGAACAGAGACAACAGTTTGTACCTTGCAGGTTTTCACCAGGAGTGAAATGAAGGAACATATGTAGAGTGCTTCATAAATAACAGGTGTTCAGTGTTTGTTCCTTCACCACCTCCTTCTCTTTGCCTATTGACGTCAGTTAACAGCCTGACCCTTTTTCTGCTAAAAGACATAAGATAGGTTTGTCAGATGTGTATTTCTCTTCCAAAATTTTCCTGCCATTAGGAAAAAATCGAAAAAGTGGAAGCAATAAACAAACATTAAAATATAAACAGCAGAAAGAAAACATTGACTCCACAGACCTTGCTGCCTCTAGACCGTGGTTGCATTGAGCATCAGCATGAATACTCTGATACTTCTCAGGATGAATTCCAGCCTTTTCCTAAGTATTGCAGCATTTCTTTCAGTAAAATTAGTTTTTAAGGTAATATATAATTTGCCTTCATAAGAGTATCTAAAGCATTTTTCCACATCAAACTAAAACTGGTATCTGTGGACTATCTGCCCCCTCGAGTTTGTTAGCTGTATATATATATGTATGTGTGTACATGTGACACCAGAATACGGAGGTGAAATGTTGGGGGAAGAAATAGTCAACTGTTTAGTTTTATGATGAACATCCTATCCCTGATAAACTTGGAAAACATACAGAGAATTGCTTCAACATTTATGTTTTTATCCAGGTGTTTGATTTAATGTAGACATTACTAACTTAAGATTCTCACATCAGCTCCAAATGGCTTTCATCTTCCACAGATCCTCCATTTTAATCCTCTCTAGGTGAATAGAGTTTGTCAAACCTCGAAATTAGTAACAAAGGTCACCAGCCTTGACCTGGGACTTTGAGCAATTCTGCAATATAACAAGCTTCACTTGCACTAAAAAAAAGCTTCTTTGAGCATGGATTTTGTATCTTTATGTAGGGCAGTTCAATACCAGTCCAGTCTTTAAAAATGTTTTGATAGGAATCAGTCCCCTGGGCTGCCCTAAATGGCAAAAAAAAAAAAATCTGGTCTATTT